AAGAACTCCAAGGCTGCTTCCGTGAGGAGGGGCCCCACGGTCGACCATGCAGCTTTGAAAAAGAGAGCCGTATAACCATCCGGCCCTGGTGCCTTATCGTCCGCAATATCGAAAAGGGCTTCCCAAATCTCCACATCCGTCACTGGCTGAATCAAACTCGCCCGATCTTCCTCGCCTAGAACCGATCCGGTGGTTATGATGTGAGGATCAACCGGTTCACAGGGCTCACGAGTGCCCAAGAAATTCTTGTAAAAATTCTCAAATTCCGCAAGGACCTCATCCCGAGAGGTAGTAACCGAGCCATCCTCCTTGCGAAGTGATACGATATTGTTCCGTTTGGCATTCCGTTTAGCTATACCATGGAAAAATTTCGTCGTACGGTCCGTATCTCGTAAATAGTGGAGTTTTGCCTTTTGGTAGAAGAAACTTTTTTCCGCCTTCGCCAAGAACCGAAACCGCTCCACTTTAGCTAGCATCTCCCCACACAGCTGCGGATTGTGGGGGTCGTTATGGTAGGCAAGCTGCGTTTCCTCAAGCTCTCCGCCCGCCCGTTTGACCCGTTCCGATATATGCCCAAATTCGCGTCGGTTGAGGCGCTTAAGTGGGTGCTTAAGGGCCTTTAGGTTTTTTCAAACAGCCCATTGACGGCTACCCCGGTGGTTGGACGTCCACACCTCTCTCACTTCATGTAGAAAATCATCATGTTGGGTCCACATGTTGAAAAAACGAAATGGCTGAGAGGCCGGGGGCTCAGTTCCTCCAAGTTTCACAAGAATCGGAGTATGGTCCGACACCGCCCCAAAAGGAAGGAATTGTGCCAAACTGCCCTCAAATTCATCTTGCCACGTTTGGTTTACAAGCGTCCGATCAAGCTTGCTCCAAACCGTTTGGTTCGTCCAAGTGTAATGGAAGCCCGTTGCAGGTAAGTCTTCCAATCCACTATGCCGGAAACACTCATGTATATCATTCAGCAGATATGGGGTGAGCAAATTACCTCCCGACTTTTCCCTGGGTTTGAGAACCACATTAAAGTCTCCCAAGAAAAGCCACGGCGAGGTAAGGCCTGTCCCGAAACCCTCAAGTGACTGCCAAAGCGGTCGTCTCGTAACCGGCGTGAAGAGTCCATACACAAAACTAACATAGAATAGCCGACTGGTAATCAGACATGTTATCTTGCAATGGACCACCTGCGACGTCATGTCAACCAATTCCACCCGAGCCACATCCGGGTTCCACACAATTAGAATCCGGCCTGCCGTGTGGAGATGGAAGTTGTTGAGATTCTCGCAGTGGCGAAAACGCCGTCCCATGATAGAGTTTAGCGTTCCCGGGTCCCAGATCTTTGTTTCCAGTAAGCCACAAACAACTAGTTTGTGCTTTCCAATGAGGTCCACGACCTCCTTCTGCGTGAGGGCGTTGAGCAACCCCCTCACGTTCCAGCATCCGATAATCATTTCGACCGTGGGGGAACGAGGTCCCCCCGCGGCTCAGCATCATCACACTTCTCTCGATCCAAGTTCGGCTCAATTGGCATTCCCGATGAGCTTACTTCCCCCTCTTTGGACAAAAGGATAGCATCCGGAGGGAGAAACTTCTTCTTGGTGGTAATCCTCGATTTGGGGGCTGTTCTCGGGGATTTTGGCGAGTCGAGGGCATTAAACTCCACCAACGATCCTCGGTCGTCATCATCCACTTCGTAGCACTCGGTAGAACCGTCATCCGATACTCCGACCTCTCCATCGACGGATCCATCTTTGGCCTCCACCACCGTCTCCGTCGCCGGGTCCTCCTCAATCACCGTCCGTTTGCCAGCCCAAACCGTAGTCACCGGTAGGTCTTCCGGCTTCTTCCACGCTTCAGCACCGCCTCCGCTCGACATTGATCCGTCTTATGCGTAAGGGTTTGGCATTTCGAACAAAATACCGGTTCATAGTTGTATTCAATCGGAACCTCATAGCTCTTGCCTTTCGCATTGATCAATGTAAGCGACCTTCGTAATGGTTTGGACGCATCCACCTCCACTTGGAGCCGTGCAAACCCCAGCCTCCCCATCTCACTCGTGACTTTATCCATTTGGACCGGTTTACCAATCTTCTGAGCGATCTTACTCAACGCCTTTTTGTTGTAGAGTTCTGCAGAGATGTTGCGTAGGATCACCCAAACCGGTACAAACATCATATCGTTGATGTCAAAGTTGAAGAAGTCCGGCATGGCAGGATGTATAGCGTCGCTTGTCCATGCTCAAACTTCCCCATCTCCATCACCTTCGTTCGATCTTGGTCCGTTGTGAATTTGAACACAATCCACCCCGTAGGATGAATTTGAAATTTCACCGGGACCTCCCATTGTGCCTTGATTGCGCGTATGGCGTCAACTCCGGGGAATTTCCCCGGAAAATAAGCAACGGCCAAGAACACGCCTTTCGTACCCCAATCTACCTCGTCTTCTTCCTCAAAACGAAGGACGTTCGTGTCAACCAAACCTTTCACCGAGTCCAACGCCAAATCCTCCGGTGGTGGAGGGTTTCCTTTGAAGAATTGGGACCAATTCATTCGTTCACCATCAACGGAGTGTAGCCCCGTTGTCGAGCCCCGAATTTCCCCTACCTTTGATGTTTCAGCATGTGGAATGGGAGCCGTCATCTTCGCCGTAGGAATTTCCGCAGGAGTCGGAACGGGTGGAGCCGGAGCCGCTCCTTTTCCTTTTCCGCCCACCGCACCGGCGGCCTTCTTCCGCACCATTGCGGATCCGCCAAGCCCTAACCCCTTGTGCCTCCCTAACCCTAATCTACCCAAACCATAGCCGCCAAAGCCCGCCAAGAAGCCCTAGCCGCCAAAGCCCACCGAAACCCTAACGGCCAAGGCTTCAGAAAAAACCCTAGCCGTCAAGATTCGCCAGAACCCTAACGGCGGCCGACTGCACACCGTCGGAAACAAAGGCCGTCAACACTTTTCCGCCCTATCACCGCCGGAAAACACCTCCAAAAGTCACGCCGTAGCCACCAAAACGTGGCCAAACCTCACGGAAAACGTAGATCCGGCCACCCCCCGAAGTAGCAATCAATCTCACACACAATCACCACCAAAATCACGTACAATACCTCCAATTCTCGAAGAAGACAAAAACGAAACTCCCGTACCCGACGACAGATCCCCACAAAATCACACTCAGAGTGAGCGCGCCGATGAGACGAGTTCAATGGTGTCGCCACCAAGGAATTCCGTTCACGGGAGGAGGAGGAGGAGCGGTCGCCGAAAGCACCCCTTTGGCCGTGAAAGCGAGAGGGGCGGAAAAAGCTTTTCCTAACTTTGGGGAGCGTTTTTCTGAGGCACGTATATATTTCATCATATGACATGAATACTTTGCGCATACATATTTTCTCAAAATAACAAATTCTTATCTAATAATTATTTTAAGGGCAAATGGCAAAAAGGCCCATCACATAGGACTTAAATGCATTTTAGTCCACAAAAAAAACAGTCTCTCAATTAAGCCCATCATCATGTCTTTAGTCTAAAATACCCTCAATAATATAATTCTTATCAATTCCACCCATTATACTCTAACTTCCTTAATATTACACATTAACCCCGAATTTAAACAAATATATCACATTAACCCCCAAAACTTTTTTTTTTTCAGAAAATAATTTTTTTTTTGAAATGTTTTTTTTTTCCGGCCAGATTCCGGCGTTGACCGCCGGAGACCGCCGGTCTCAGGCGTTGACTCTTTTTTTTTTTTTTTTTTTGAAACTTTTTTTTTTTCCTGAAATTTTTTTCCGGCCGGTCAACCACCGTTGACCGCCGGTCTCCAGCGTTGACTTTTTTTTTTTTTTTAGAAAAAAAATATTTTAATTAATATTACTGTCTTGGCTACTAAATTACTGTCTCAGACAGTAATATTACTGTTTGGGACAGTAATATTATGAATATTATTTTTCCGAACAGTAATGTTATTAATATTATTGTCTAAGACAGTTAAATTACTATTGGAGACAGTAATTTAACATCCAAGGCAGTAATATTAATTTAAATAATTTTTTTAAGGAAAAAAAAAAGTCAATTAACAGTTAAATTACTGTCTCCGACAGTTAAATAACTGCCGGAGACAGTAATTTAGCAACGAATACAGTAATATTAATTAAAAATATTTTTTTTAAGAATAAAAAAGTCAATTAACAGTTAAATTACTGTCTCCGACAGTTAAATAACTGCTGGAGACAGTAATTTAACAACGATACAGTAATATTAATTAAAATATTTTTGAAGGAAAATAAAAAGTCAATTAACAGTTAAATTACTGTCTCCGACAGTTAAATATCTGCCGAAGACAGTAATTTAGCAGTCAAGACAGTAATATTAATTAAAATATTTTTTTTAAGAAAAAACAAAATTATAAAAAAAAAAAAAATGAACGCCGGAGACCTGGCGGTCAACGGCAGTTGACCGGTCGGAAAAAAATTTCAGGAAAAAAAAAAGTTTTTCAAAAAAAAAAAAAAAAAAAAGAAGTCAACACCGGTCAACGGCGGCGACCGGCGGTCTCCGGTGGTGGCGAGTCAAAATTGAAATTAGGGTTAAAATTGATTAATTGATGAAATTGGGCTAAATCGGGGTGTAAATCATGAAATTGGAGTTAAATTGGGTTTCAATGAATTGGGGGTAATTTTGGTATATATAAAAGGATTTTCCTTATTTGCAAATAAGTTTGAATGGGTTGGATTTATTTGAAAGACAAAAAAGTTGGATGTCCCTCTTTTAATTAAGTGCCCTTGTCATGGGCCTATTTGCTATTACCACTTATTTTAAATATAAATAATATAATTTTTGGAGTTAATTATCATAATAATTATATTTATTTTTTTACGTACATTTCAAGAAGAGAATATCCTTATTCTTAAATGACAAAAAATTATGCAGAAATGAAGATATGATTTCTTAATTTCATTTCTATCACTCACTTTTGCAAGATATTAATTTGACATGTTTCCCGGAGTTCCAAAATTTCAAAGCCTCTCGAAATCAGAATGAATATTTAGAAAATATCAAAATATGCAGCTAAAAAACTCTGTGAGGATTCATAATCTATTTCCCAACATCATAACATACATGTATATAGTCCTATTTAATTGAAGAGGTATCTAAAGTCAACACACCTCACCTGATCATTAACTTGGGAAATAAATGTTTTCGGCATTAAAGAAGATATTATGCAGAGATCAGATTCCACCGAAAAAAGACTGTCTCATATACTTCGGAAATTCTTGTGTCGATAAACAACTTTCATCTCTTTCTTTTTTTCTTTGGGAGGGGAAGAACACACACTATTTCTTGACGGACATGTAAATTCCAGATACGATGGCAACCCCTGCAACTGTAATCCCAATTGTACCTAGTATCTTGCCCACTCCGATACTTTTGTTTTTTGCAGGTAATGTAGTAAGTTGCTTCATCTATACAACAGTAGAAATAAATACCAGGTCACACAGTTGTAATTCAATGCAATCTTGAACATGAAAGTAGCAATGGTTATCTTTGACAGACAATATAATTAGATTACAGATTTGCTTGGGCTCAATGCAATTTTGTTTAATAGGATGACGTATAAATCAAGTTTTAGTACATTGCATTTCAACCCTTCTCAATTCTCATGCTCGTGCGCTTTCTAAAAATATAAAGACGTCACAATAAATTTTCCTCCTGGTAAACACATTCTCCTAAAACATTCCCAGAAAACAAAACCAAACAAAGTAAAAGAGGTCTACCCCCGATATATTTCTTGAGACTCGAGTAAACTTAATTTAGAAAATAAATCTTAAGGATTCAACTGCTCCGACAAGATAATTTTACAGGGTCAAGGGTTTGCCTAAGATGATAGGGTGAATCTTGACAATCTTTTCAGTTAGGCAGTTGGTCAAAGGGCAAAGTCAAAGCGCACATGTTATTTTAAGGAGTGATGTTTTTTTCTCCTTTTTTTCTGGGGTAAAGAGCAAAAGGACATGAAATCAATAAAGTGAAGTGGTATGCTTTATTCATAACATAACCATGACACAGAGACTTAAAGATAACCAAGCATGTTTTTAGCATATAGAATCGTATAATATGCTTACATCAACAGGTTGTTTCCAGTTCTTCTGGATTCCTGCCAGGTGTCCTTTCCCCACGACAGCCACCACTGAGTTATGCTGACTGGCAGTTCTTAATAATGTGGCGGACATGTATCTGGATAAAGCAAATTTAGAATGTAATAAGCAATAATCATAAGTATGAGAAGCTAGAATAGCAGAATAAGGTTTCGAGCAGAAAGATGCAAAATATGTCATTGCAACCAAAGTTGAATAAACTACAGGAGAAAGGGAATCACTAAACTTCAAATCATAAGGCAACATACACTCCATGACAATTGCAAGAATAAATATTAAACCAAAAACACTTTAAAATAAAATCAACTATGAGAAATTTGAATACGAGAGCTAGAGAAGACGAACATGGGCTTGCGGGCGTAAAGAGGCAAAACAAGAGATGGGGTCAAGAAACATAGACACAACAAACAAGGGATAAATGGGAAAATAAAAAGAATTTTGATGGAAAACACAGATATGAATGGAGCAGCATGTTTCGAATTTTGATGGAGAAAGAATTTTTCGTTTTTTTTTTCCCTTGAAGTACTATTAGAGGATGTATATGGATGAGATAGAGAAAAAACAAATGAAGTGAGAAAAAATTCAGCCATGTGCAGCCATTTTTAATCGACAATATATTTTGTATTATCTAACAATATGACAGTTAACCCACTAATAATATTTTTTTTACAATTACATCCCTGATAGTTAAGAGGGGTAATATTGGAAATTTTGGAGAAATATTCTTGGAATCTAAAAGATTGATGTAGCACGGGGGGATGTTAAACGATGCACACCTGCAAGGGGTGAATGTAATTACGAAATCAAGAGGGTGTTCATAGTTTACCCTAACATACTTCACATTCTCTTAGATTCTTAAAAGACAGGTATCGGACTCCAGTTCAATTGACCGTGAGAGTAAAACAAAGAAAATATATATATGTATATATCCATATAACATAACTAGTTTATGAACATGAAGTACGGAAATCTTAGGGAACTTAGGCATTTAGGTGAAGAATTGTGGGTTCAATTCCCACAGAGGGGAAAAACATAATAAATTAAAAACAAAAAGTAAGTTATATATGAAGAATAAACTCAAATGATAAGAAGACTAACTGGTCGCGCTCATGCACAAGGGTTTCCATGAGAGTTGGAAAATGCTTGCTCATTTCTTGAATTACAAGAGTTAGCATGTCAACATCATCCATTTCCTTCAGCTGCACAAAGGCACAAAAGAGTTATTATTGCTCAAGTAACATCACAGAACCCGAGTCCTTCAGATATAACACGGTTAAGATCTCAGTCTTACAGGGTATGGAAGTCTACCATTTTACTGAGATCTTCAGGACTTGGCAAGAAAACTGCTTGAAACGTTAAGGAGTATAATAATTTTGTCTTGTGCCAAAGAGGCATCTTTGCCCATGTTCTCCGCAATGTAACCTGCCAAAGAAAACAAATCAATATTAGAAAAGCAAACTGAAGCAAATTGCTGCAAAATTTATCAGCCTATTGCAAAATCTGGTGGTAGATATAGAAGTGAGTGAGGTCGGACAACAATAAAAACACTACAAGAAATTACTAATGAGAAATGCTGAAAAGTATGTATTAAAAATCTTCTCACCTGGTCCATAGAAAGGGACGACGCAACTCTTTTAAAGCAAAAGCGTTTATTTTAAAGAAAATGTATATCGTAAGTAACACTCAAGATGACATGTTAAGATAAGAAGTTGCATAATTGTCATCAAAGGGATCTCTGCATAATTGATCAGTACCGACAGTACAAAGAAACTGGATCCATCAATCTATCTTCTCAGGAAATGAGCAAGCATTCTCCAAAACTAATTACCGGGAACAATTGGTTGATTTTTATTTAATAGTAGGACAAACACAAAGAGAAGTAGCTTACTTGGACATTTCGATCACCAAGTATAACCTTGCCCCCGTACTTCATTGCTTCTTCATATGCCACACGAAACTCTGCTCCTGGCAGAACTTCAAGATGACTAGCAACCTAGTAAAAGATAGATCATGTGAGACAATCAAGTGGCAAAAGACAAAATGTTTTTGCTTGTGACATAACTAGCATAAGTAAAAGATAAGATCATGCCTTAGCAAGAAACCAGCTGTAAAGTATCCCAAAAAGATTTTGATTTTTCTTCCACATATCCACCATTTCTTTCATTGTTGGTACCTGAAAGACCAAGCTTATTGTCATTTCTATTCCCAATATGCTGACTCAAGAACCGAAAATAGCATTATTAAGAGTATAAGAAAAAAAAAACTCATATGAGGTCAGAAAAGGAGTGTTCCACCTGTGACCTGGCTACTGATTTAGTAATTTACAATAAATATCTTAGCCCACTAAACATGATAAAAATTTGATTCGCCTGGTTTATGGTTAATAAGTACGATATTTCAGGTCCCGAAGTGCACTGTTAGTCAAATATACACAGGCACCCCTAGGTTTAATGTGCAAAAAGAAGTAATTGGTTTACTCTTACACTTCATTACTAATAATAATGAGTGCATGCTACAATTTGAGCATACCTTATCCCAGACAACAATTGGTATTCCCAAACACATTGCATAAAACACCTAGAAATTAAGAGTTCCATTTTTTTCTCTCCACCCCTACCCCTAGTGACTGTTCCAGACTCCCATTGAGTTAAAGAGCAACTAGAGAAATTACACCACGTGTAACGCTGAGAGGCTAGTAGACTGCACGAACACCAGAGTAGAAAATAAATTAAAGAAATTACTTCCACGACGTCATACTGGCTAAGATAGTACAGATTGAATGAATGATGCTTTAGTACACATTGAAGGAATGATGGTCCAGTTATACCGCTATGAGACTTGTAACTCCTATAAAAAGTTCAGCTAAGCTTGAAACTTCAGCGATTGTGCTGCAAAAGTTCTGAAAATTCGAATTTGGAACCTAAAGTTCACAACAAGAACTCATTTGATAAAATTCAGCCGTTGAAGACATTCTAGGAAGAAGAGATGTGCGGAAAGAAGGGATATATAGGCTGACCAAGTCAAGGAGTTTGGAGAAACCATGAAACTCACGATCTTTGGTTCAACAGAACAGTAACCCCACATTCGGCCCACTTCTACCGCTTTAAAATCTTATAAATATTTGTAAAATTGACAATTAGTTTGCAAATTGAATTCAGAGTTATATTTGTATTTGGAGTCATGTCTTCTCCATACAGACAACTTATTTGAAATATATTGCGCTGTGATTTGCTCTTGCACTCAACTATTCACGTTTGTTTTTCATTGACTCGAAATCAGTTCTATCATTGTGCTAGTGCTCTTATGAACTTGATGTGCCGCCACCGAAATTCTGTAACAAATCAAAATTGCTACAAGCAGTATGCAATGATGGAAACAGTTCAATCAGCACACTAGCAAAAACTTGTTTCACACGCTGTATATTTACATCTTAAAGAAACAAAGAAGGAGTTTAGAGCTCTATTGCTAATCATTTTCATGATTGCCTCCCACTATTTGTTAACTTGATAAAGAGAACTTACAGTAAGGAAATACAAATAAAGGAAAAATAAGGCAAACCTTCAGATCTTGTGGCGCAAGAACAGCAACACGACTAGAACATAACTCCAAGAAAACAACCTGCAATGAAAAAAAAAAACGTCTAAACATTGCTATATTTGAGAATTTAAAAGGAGGCAAAAATAGCCCACAGGACAAACACCTAAACTACAGGAAGAGTACTAGCATATTATAATTCAAGTATTCAACAAATCATGCAAGGTCCAACTTTCAAAAGAGAAGCACCTGTGGTTTCAAGAATTCAATCACAGCTTGAACTTCTTGGCAAGATTCCTGCAAATAAATATAATAATTTAATCAACAGTGTTAATATAAGTACATTTTTTGTTTCTATTAATATTTTACATGGGTAGCGATACATGGGAAACCAAAATGATATTCCCAGCATTCCAGAAAGAAGAAAGATAACTAAAAGCTTTAAATTCAATTAGAAATTGATTGAACTTTTTCTGTATTTTCCAAGAGAAGTAAGAACATAACAATCATCAAGAATCCATTTGTAAAATAAAATAAATCAACTTCTCCACTAAAGTTTGTTCATATTAAATCACTTGACCACCTTAATCCTACAAATCTGAACATAAAATTTTTAATCAAAATTACAATTGTCACCATTATCAACCGATTTGCTTCACCTCCTCTGACTACAATAACTTAATGTACTTCAACATTGTCTTCATTCTCCCAAATTTCTACCACAACACTGTAAAACCCTAAAAAAATCCTACTCTACCATGTCAGAGATATAAAGTTTGATTGATAAAGTAAAAAGATCAGTAATCTCGCATGTCGAAATTCAACAATTGAACTTTCAATAAGACCTCAAAAACCCAAAAAAGAGAAAAAAATCAAGAGAAAAATGAGCAATTGAGCAAAAAGATCGAGAATCAAATTCCCCCAAAAAAGGCAATAAAATCAACAGAAACAAGACGGCCAAAATGGATGAAATAATTACCGTAGAAACGTGGGCAGTTCCGATCAAATAAACATCACACAAGCCTCCCTCCGCAGTCGACTCGCAATTAAGTGTCACCACACTTCTCGAAAGCTCCGGCGGCAGGATTTTCCTCTCATAAGAATAATTGTTGTCATTACTTCCACCCTCATTTTCGACGGGATTCTTATCCCCTTCACCTAACTCCGCAAAATCATCGATTCCGTCAGTCGCCGCAGGAGATGGAGGATCCATCACACGGCGGCGGGAGGAGTGTATGAAGGCTAGAGGCTTGAGTGGCGGATTGAGGCGGAGAGGATTGGCGGCGGTGGCGGTGGCGGTGGAAAATGCAAGGAGGTGCCTTGCCGAGTTGATACGATTTAATCGGTGCATGAAATTTAATTAGGAATTTTTTAGCAATAATATATGAAATCATTTTGCGGATTCAACGCCAATCTTTTACACAATTTTTTAATGCACAAAATATATTTTCAAATATTAACTATTCTTAGTTTCCTAATTTTTATATGATTTCACTTGCTGAAATATTTCTAGCTATTTTACTTGTAGCATTTCAACTTCAAACGTCATTTTTTACTATTTTACTAATATCACTTCAACTTAGAACATGATTTTGATCCATTTTCGAGTCGAATTTGACAAAAGTCAAAACACAATTTTTGAATTCTTTGAGTTGATTTTCTATCCAACTTAAAATTATTAGATTGAATGTCGGACTAGAGAGTTATGTATGAATGAACAAACATTAGTAGCAATTTTGATGTTTTGAGTTTTATAAATACGGATTGTCACATCTAATCTAGTTTGCCCAAGTTGGATTAGAAGTTCAATTTATAGAGGGAGCGGCTAAAATAAATATCATTTTTCTCTCACTTTAATACAATAAACATAAAAAATAAAAATAATAAATAATAAATACCACACACGAATTGTTGTAGTATTTATTTTATTAAGGGTATTAATGTCATTACCTATTAATTTTCTATTTTTTTGTTGATGGTATTAAAGTGAAATATGAACGGTATTTGTTTTAGCCGTCTCTATTTATAAAACTACAAACATCTTGAAAAATGATCAAGTTATATTTGAAGTCAGAATGGTATCAATAAATTGTAACAATGTTCACCTCCCACCCACTTATGTTTTATAGTATGTAAACATTCAATTAGTCCTCAATTATATTTTGACCTTGACTATTTGAAATACTAATTCCACTAAGGGAAGATCAAATTATTATTTTTAATTGTAGAAATAGTATAACACCTTACTTACAAAAAAAAAAAAAAAAAAAAAAAAAAAAAAAAAAAAAATTAAAACACACAAAAGCTACCTACAAGAAAAAACAAATAACACAAGGCCACGAACTCACGTTCTTTGTCTTCCATAAATCACCAATGCCGCCCTACGGACGGTGGTCGTTGTAGGAAAGACCCGTCAAAATTAGGTCAAAATATTGTTAATATACAATATTTGTTAAAATTGGAGTCAATGTGAAATATTAGGTAAGATATAAGTTAAACCATGAACTCGAAGGACTACTCATTTCCGATTTTGAGTTTTGCCAAAATCAGACTAGAAAAATAATTAAAATCGTATTCGAAGTCAAAACCATATCAGTAAATTTGAAACTGACATTTGACATTTCAGATATTGAATACACCACAATATCTCTGATAATTATTGCTAATTACACAATATTCAATTCCAACTAATCTAAAGAAGATGATGCTGTATAGTTAGGTGCTGATGACATGAACCACACAGGTGTTACTTAATTCGGGTTAATTAAAACAAAAAAAGTTTCAAGCAAGGACCAAAATTCTTTCTATACCATAATACATTATTAAACATTACAATTTGAATCAATATAATCAACTGATCTGAAGTTTTATACTTGTATGAGAAGAACTTTTCGCTTCTAACACCGACCCTTGTCTGAGAATCATCAGAAAACGCAAGTGATCAAAAGAAAGACGAAACAACCAAATAATATATAATCTGCACGAAAACTTATTTCCCTTACTATTTTATTGCACAACAAGATTAGACACATCCAAAGAATTGTTCCAAGCATGTCGCTGTGACCACATTCGACGCCGGTCGTTCAAGCTTGACTTGGGAGATATAAAGCTGATATTTGATGAACCTCTGCAAAATGATTTTTTTTTTTTTAAATAACGATTGTGATTGTGAGAATAATGAATATTCCAAAAAATAATAAATTAATGTTTCGGAGCAGCATAATAAAAGATATTGATTGAATAGAGATGGCGGTACGTACAGATAACTGGGTAATAATATCGGGATTGGAATCGATGTGCCAATCAGGTTCCAGTTGTCTCACAAAAGATGTTCGTCCACTCTCCGTGCTGCAGAAGAGAACCTGCACAGAGTTCGTTTCGGTTGTAATGAAATAGTGTGAAAGAATTCCGAAGAAGAAAAAAAAAAAAAAAGGATCGATTATATTTTTAATAATTGAAATAGTTAATGGTAGTCGGGGATTCATTACCTTGTCTTTGACTAAGCCACCAGATGTGAAAACCCCGGCTTCTTCCAAAGCTACGAGGACTTTGTTCTGCACAAAATCATCCATCTTATTAGTGATCTTATACAGCATTAATAAAGTTATATTAATTAAATACCACAAACATATAAGAAAGAGTAAGAGAGATACGATATGCAAAACCGTATTTTTATACTGCCCGTGAAGGTTTTATCGTAATTATTCATTCTACGTCCGTAGTTGCCAACTTAGAAAGGAAGTATCCATCGAAATCATATAGTCCAACGACGAGATGAAGAATGAATATATAGAAGCGAATCACACAATATCAAAATTTTGACAGCTAGCAAGGCTCGATATTCAGATTACCTAGAGTAAATTGCAAACGAGGTAAGGCAAAACTACGAAGGAAAAAATACTATTTTTTGGATAATCACATTTACACCCCAATAAACAAAAAAAAACTTACAATCACACCCCTAAGAGTTATAGGGGCTAAATTGAAACTTTTGGACGAATATTCGTGGAATCTAAAAGATTATGTTAGCGTTCACGCCGTAAGGGGGAATGCAAAGAAAAGGGGAATTTTTGTAATTTAGCCTTACCTCAGGGGTGGTTGTAATTTACCTACAAATTAAACAAGAGGAATAGAGAGTAATTATGGAAACTTCAGTGGACCCATAATGAAAAAAAATATATTAAAATAATAACAACGTAAAGTTGCCCAATCTAAAAATCGAAAACTCCACACACAAAATTATCTGTTCCGGAAAACACATATTGACCAGCAATCCAAGACTAAGAAACTAATATTTAAAATAACATCGATAGCAAAATAATACACGAGCATTTATATTTACTATTTCCCGAAACATTATCTTAGCAAGGGATGGGAGTTTCATGTTCCCTAACTATTTTTTACCATTGCAAAAAAATAAATAAATAAAAATAATACAAATAAAAACATGTCGTGACAAACAAGAAGAATGCATTTATAACCAAACATAAAGGCGCGCAGAACTCTAAAACACAGATAAGGAGAGTAAAACATGGGAAAATGAAATCGCAAAACATGACAAAATAAAAAATAAGAAAAAAAGACGGTTATTTACTTGGCTTTCATCATCGAGTACCCTTTCCATGAGATAAAGGTCACAAAACTTTGTGATCTCGAGCAGCACCTCAAGAACAGATGATCTCACCGTTGCTTGCTTCTGCCCAACATTCATTGCACCACAAGAATAATAAGTGATTTTTAAAATTATTTTTTTCTCTTTCATATATATATATATATATATATATATATATATATATATATATATATATATATATATATATATATATATATATATATATATATATATATATATATATATATATATATATTTATATAAATAAATATCAAGAATGGGAAATGAAATTAACAACCTGCAGCTCCTCGGGACTGCTTTCCTCAAGGATAACACCAACTAATCGACATGTTACCTGCACCATTAAAGATTGAATGAATATACATTGAAGCTACATTAAGAACTTCTAGTCTGTAATGATTCATATGTTCGTAAGCTGCCACTTAGAGAAAGCAACCAATAAATAAGTGCAGTACACTGCCGACGAAAACAGACCACCTAGTATTTGAAATATTACCTTCCTTCCATCACTTAACCTTTGCCTAACAATTTGTCCGAGAGTTGGCTGCAGTTAGACAAAAGAATAACAATCCGAGTCACTTGAAGCACGCTGCACATGATTATTGAAAAAAAAAAAAGAAAAAATAAAAGGGCGAAGAAGCAGGAAAAAAAAAAAGACCTTGACGGGCTGAAAAAACTCATCGATGACATTCTGGGTGGTATCTTGTGTAGGATTGGTATTCGCGTTGATGGTTTCACGACTATGTACAGCAGCGGAACTAGTAGAAGCTTCCGGAGCTTGTGGTTTAGGTTGCCTTCTTTGAGGTGTTGATAGAAGTCTCCAAGTAAAAACTATTGCAAATGCTAGCCCCGCTATCGCCCCAACGGATCTCGAGTCCTGCATCCAATCCATCATTACTTCAATACATTAAATATTCACAGAAAATATTCATCTTTTTTTTCTGCAACTAAGTCAGTAAAAGGTTGCAAGCAACTGACAGCATTAATCGGTAACTAAAGTTGTTTAATGAAAATAAATAATGTATTAAATTAATGAAAATAAATAATGTATTAAATTAAAGCACGGGAAAAGCATGATAGGAGAATTGATTAAACTGCTAAAACTGTTGCAGATAGAGTAAGTATAACAGCAGAAAAAGAAAGTGATAGTAAAGAAGGGGAGCGAAAACGAGATGGAGATGAAGAAGCATTAAACTTTCGATGATGCTGAGGAGTCCAAGTCCTAACAGAATCCAAAATATTATTCTGATACCTTTTTAATTTACTTAACTCGCAACGAAATAAAATGGGACAAGAAAGAAACGAGATGAAACATGAACAGAGGCATAATTAACGACTAGTTCTGGTTATTGAATTTAAGGAGTAATGAATTATTGCCTGCAGTATTTTGAATCTAGTTTGTTGGTCAGACATTTGAATTTCTCAGTTTCGAAGTGTCGTAGTGTAATAAATAACAATCTTTCATTTTCAGTTTACATGAGTATAATAAACGGACCTCTCTGGTAAATTCATACGTGAAAACTTGTCAAGAGTTTCAACATAGAGATATCTTTGAGAGGGAAAAATACTCATTGTATCTCCATAACTACTATCTGTAAGGAGCAAAACTCTATAGTAGCATAAAATAACACGGACCACTCTAATCTTTATGGCATCGTAAAATCATTATGTTTAATACATAAAGACTACTGTAGATTCTACATATTGTTTTCTTCAGAAAACCTTAGTAGATGGTTTGTTTATCATTTCTCTTGACAAAAGTAAGTAATCTTAAACAGAATAGAAATCTCAAACTTAGGAATCTCTTGCCACAGCTGTTTAAGAGTCGATTTCATTAAAGCAGCCAATAAAAGTTACTCCCTCCGTTTCTTTTCAAGTGTCATTTAAGGTCGAATGCGCACTAATTAAGGAATATATTAGATAGTCTTGAGTTTAGGGGGAAAGACCCTTATTTGACAAAATTACCCCTTCGTGACTTTTTATCACTTCATTCATTTATCATTAATGGTGGGGTATAGGCGGACTTTCTTCATTACATGATGTATATGTTTGCAACAAAAGATTCAGTCTTTCTCATTTATCCTTTCACGCAAGATAAACGAAGAAGAAAAAAAAAGATTATATGACATAAATAGATTACAAGCAAAAACAAAAACAAATCAAAAGGCAATGCGTTCAGAGCACGAGGAAAGACGGTTAAGAATTATTAGTGTATAGAAACAAAAGGAAGCTCGATTCCGTTAACTAAGGTTGCATTTAGATGGGAGGATGTGAGGGAGCCCGAAGAAAATAAGACATCTGTTTTTCGGTACATTGAGACACTGATCAATGACTTATAAGATTCACGGAGAATATGCATCGCTAATCAGGAAACATTTACACTAGCATCTACCAATTAACTAATTACTATATGACATCATCAAATTAGCATTTTGTTTTCCGGTTGTTGATTGCACAAAAACAGAATTGCTCACTGAGCAAGAAAACCAGACAGAAATATACATAAATATAAAAATCATACTCCAACTCACAAAATACAAACAAGAAAACTAGAAAACCTAAATGCTCAGCTAACACCCTGAACCCAAACAAGTACCTAAATTCTTCACAAATCAGAATCAACAAAAAACAAGAGAGAGAGAGAGAGAGAGAGAGAGAGAGAGAGAGAGAGAGAGAGAGAGAGAGAGAGAGAGAGAGAGAGATTGAACGAACCATGTGGCGAAAGAGATTGGAGAGCTTGAGGGTGAGGAAAGCTCCGAGACGCTTGATCAACTGCAGAGAATCTTCCTTGGAGTTATCCGCCATCAGAAATCAATACAAGCTTTTTTGTTATATGTATGTACCAATTGAACAAAAACCGATTCGGGATTAAAAAAATGGAAAAAAATCAAGATTTTGGGTTCTGCAGAAGAATTAAGAGTCAAGTGTGAAACAATTGGCAGATCGATGATGACCGAGGTAAACTGCAAAAGGGGAACATGAAATTTTGTGCGTTTATATTTGTTTGTTCTGTGTGTATAGGTGGAGGTTTTTACTGGGCCTAATTGCACTTTGGTCCCTTACAATTTATTTTGTTGGGGTCAAAGTACCATTTGACTACAAATAATGTCCTAATACCATTTTCATGCGGTCTACAAGAGGAGGTCTTGTTGTGGAAATCGGATCGAAAATGATTTTTTTTGAAAAAATTTCAATTTTTTTTTGGAAACGGCTCCAACTTCTGTTCCAAAGAAATCAGAATGCATAAATTCATTCCGATTTCGCAGTGCCTTGAAATTGATGAAATTTCAAAAAAAAAGAAAAAATAGAAATTACATACCAAATTCGGATATAATAATATTTGTCTATTTTTTTTTTTTTTTTGCATGAAAATGCAAAAACAAAAAATCCAAAACAGAGTTCGATAAAAAACAATAAATAAAAACACGTGTAAGAACTATGAACAACAAATTGAAATATAGATTTTCTTATAAGGAAAATGCAGCATAAAGTTTCTGACATCAATTAATATTTTCTAAAGTTTTAATTTACTTGACCATTTGGTATTTATAAAATATAACATAAGTTATATATTATGGAATTACATAATATATCATAAAATTTTATTATATATATATAGAAAATTGAGTCGAAATCAAAGTTTCTGGTAATTTATATATCATTCCGATTTCGTTTCAAATAAATTCGAAAAAATTGAAAATTGGAACTTTGGAAGTCGGAATGAAAAAAAAAAAACAGTTCCAAATTCGGATATTTTCGAATCGAAATTGACAGAATTCAGAAATTTCATTCTAATTTCCACCCCTAGCCTTGATGTATAAATAAACACATATATAAACTTGCGAATTTTTTAATGTTTAACCAACATTGTTTAAAATGGACATCTAAATAAACATTGTTTAAACCTCAACAGTTCTCTCTTTCGAATATTGAAGATATTAATATTAAATGATACATTTCACTAACAGCTTAAACTTTTGGTTGAGACGGTCATTCAACATGGTATTAGAGCCAGGCCAAATGAAAGGTCCTGAGTTCAAATCCCACTGCCACACATTTAAAAATATTTCAAGTGCAAGGCTTCAAATGTAAAAAATATTAGAGATATTAATATTAAATGATACATTTCACTAACATTTGGTTATTCAAAAAATTTCAATTTTAGCATGATTTTTTTAATTCAATTTCTAAAACTATTATGGGGTCTTAAGATATAAGTCCCTGGTACCAAACCTTATTAGAACTAAATGACAGGCCTAATTAAAATTTGATTGACATCCTTTATTAAAATTCATTCCAAAAATACCCCTCACTCACAAAATTCGAAATTAAGTCAGATTATAAATATTCTATGATGTACTATGATACTCCCTCCGTCCCATTTTAAATGTCGTTTTTGGTGGTTACGCGTAGATTAAGATAGTCAATAAATATGTATAAATTATACCAAAAATAACATAATAAATACTAAAATACCCTTGTCATTAATTATTTTTTAATTAACTAATTAAGAGTGATAAGGGGCAAAATTGATAAAAATGCAATTAATACCATATTGAAACTCTAAAATGACAAATAATTTGGGACAAAAAAAACACTCCAAAAAGACATATAATAAGGGACAGAGGGAGTATTATTTAACATTTTTAATTTGCATTTAGCATTTTCTTTATTTTATTTTTTTAGTAGCATACGTCTGGCTTTTTGTTTTTTTTTTCTCATTACGATTTTTTTTTACATAATGTTCAAAATTATGATTTTTTTTTCTACATAATATTCAAAATTATGATTTTTTAAAAATTGTTTTTCCGGCCGTAGTCATTTACAGACACCCATAGAAACCATCGTAATCCGTAGTCACCCACAGTCCCACAAACACCCATAGAAACCGTAGTAATCCGTAGTCACCCACAGACATCTTAAAGCCCTAAATCCTCCTTTGAAACCCTAAATCCTCCTTTGAACCCTAACCGCCAGCTGCTAGATACTCACAGACATCTATAGACATCAAAATAGGAAAAAATTAGATTCGCCCCACCAAACCCTAGATCCGCCCCACCAACCCTAGATCCGCCCCCTACACTGCCGCCGCACAGCCTTTGCAAACCTCCACCGCACAGCCCCTAATTCTCCGCCTCCACCACGACCCCATCCACCGCCGCACAGCCCATGCCGTCGCGCCTCCACCACCGTTGTTGCTGGTTCCTCTCCTGCCACCGCCAGCGACGGCCTTCGATTCGTGCTTCTATAGGAGAAAAAGAGAGATATAGGGAGATGAGAGAAAGGGAGATAAAGAGAAAAGGAGAGAGAGGGAGAGGGAGAGGGAGAGAGAAAGATAGGAATAATTAAAGATACCAAACTCGTGCTTGTGGTTCAATCATGCTTCTGAAAACAACACGCTTTTGCCTCAAAACGAGGCAGACTCTGCCGAATCCATATGGTGTTGGTGGGTGGGTGGATGGATGTGGGTAACAGAATAGGAGAGAGAGAGAAGATGGAGAGGGAGAGAGAACGTGAGACAAGAGATGTAGAGGGAGAGAGAACGTGACAAAAAAAATAAAAAGAAGAAAAATAAATGTTAATTGAAGGATCGTGTGAATGTATAAGTTATAGGATTTAGGGTACAAGGGCAAGATAGGGATAATAAAAAAATTAAGGATGTGGCTCATATATTATTTTAAATTAAGGATTTAATTAAAAAATTTAATTTGAATTTGTCATTTAGTTCAAATTAAGTTTCGTTTGAGGGACTTCTGGCATATTACCCCAACTATTATTTCCAAATTTTTCTATTAAAGAGAAATTATTTAAAATATAACTATGTTAACAAGGATAAATGTTTCATCAAAAAAAAAAACAAGGATAAATGTTTTTATAGAGTGACTCTAAAATTATATCTTCAGATAAATTAGATTTTCTTCAAAAAAAGAAATTTTCGATTTTCTTTCAAAAATATTCAAAAAAATAAAAGTAAAACGATTTCAAAATTTTTGTATTTAATTAAAATAAAATGCGTTTAATTATATTTTTTTTAATTGATTATTAATAAAAAAAATTATCGTTAAACTATTAGAGATTTTACAAAATAATCCTATGATCTATTTTTCATGTATAGTTTGTTGTATGTTTTCTTGCTCATTCGGTGGGGGTACGTGGTAACCCATTGTCGGTGTTATGTTATAATATTTAGAGCAACTCTAATGTGAAATTTCAAAATTGAATTATCAAATACTCATTTTGTAACACCCCGTATTTTCATAAGTATATTATAGGGATTTATTGAATAAATTATCGATATGCACATTTCTATACATACATTACTTTTCATGAATTAATTAATAAATGATATGCACCTTAATTGCGTATATGCATTATATGAGATTATGTTGAATAAATGATGAATATGCATTCATGGATTAATTAATTAGTAATTTCAATGCATTCTAAATGTTTAAGTGAATTTTATAAATTATGAAATTTATGAATTAGGTGTACTTGTTTGATTAAATGATTTAGTAACTTCGATTCCGTGATTAAGTGATTCTTGTGATTCTGTGAGTCGGCTCCTACGAATTTTGTGAATTAGAATTTATTATGCAACTTAATTGAATTAGTTAATTCATGAATTTTCATAGTTTAATTAATGGATTTATGATTAGTAATTAGTTAATCCCATTTATCTAAGTGTTTATATGACTTATAATAGATTTTATAATTTGGTTAATAGTTCCTGTCAATTTCTCTTCTATTCTGTAATTAAATATTTATATGTGCTTAAGTATGTGCATGAGCCGTGTAATTTCTTATGCATATGTGTGAATTATATGAATGTGCCATGTGCATGTGTATGGTGTGTTTATATGACATATTATATGAATATGTATACTATCATATATTATATGTGCTTGATTATATATGTGAGGATTTAATTATGTGTATACATGTATGTATGTTCTATGTGCATGTTTATTTAATGCCCATAACTCCCTCTCTCGGTAAATACATGGTAATTTCCTCCCAAATTCTTCTTTCTATTATTTTAATATTATATATAGATACATATATATCTATAGATTTTGTGTTTGCATGTGCTTGAGTGTTGTAAAATAGCCGTGTGTATGTGTTGTGTGTGTTGGATTTTTGCTGTGTATACAAGTGTCCTAATTCCCCTAATTGCAATCTACGCCCTCTTGTCTTCTTTATTGCAAGTAAGTCCCTCTACTCCCATATAAATTGACCCTTCCTCTTCACTATTTTCAGTAGGGGTGGTTTCGGTACGGTTGCCGAATATTTTGATGAATACCGTGTACCTACCGAATTATATGGTATTGAAAAATTCGATACCGTTACCGTACCAACAAGTGCGGTATACCGTTATTCGGTATACCGTTACTTTCGGTACGGTATATCGGTACATGGTAACTCTACCGTTAATTTTAATTTGTCACTTTGAAGACGATCTTTATAAAAACACAACACTTTAAAAAAGAACATTGGCTATTTATATGATCATATTCAAATTTTTAAAGATCCTTGAATATTTGTCAAACTTCAACTTCACTGATTTAGCCACACCTTGCAAAATAAGATTACTAGAGTCATGATTTTTTTTTCAATCTCAATTTGCAGCCGTACTATTTCAGTGAAAACCAAATGGGATGTACATTTTTTTTTGTTGCACTAAACTTCAATGTTGTCTCATAAATTTTTAAGAACTGTAATTCAATTTTTAAGTTTTGATCTATTTATTTTATGTAGTAATTTTAATTTTAGTTAATTACTAACCAATATAAAATAAATATATATTAATTAAATTGTAAATTTCAAATTTGCGGTGCGGTACGGTACGGTATTACCATGGTGCTGAAAATACAATACCGCTACCGTACCGTATGATAGTGGTACGGTACCAATACCGTACCAAATGTAGTGGTTACTGAAGTTTTGGTAATTTTTCGGTATTGTTTGTTAGGTATACCGTGGTATTCGGTAGGCGGTAATTATTTTCCAGCCCTAATTTTCAGCATAAATACATGAGCCTAAAAATCACTCATCTCCTCTCTTTCTCGTCCAAATACAGCCCCAAAAGGAAGAATTTATCTTCCACTTCCAAACCTTCAAGATTCTTCATAAAAGTCTCTCTTTTCCTCTTCTAAAATCCTCTCAAAATGCCTCTCTCTCCCTAAATTCGAGATTCCCAAATATACTCAAAGAAATAACCATATAATCTCTCAAAACTCAGCTCCAAAGCAATCCAATACCACCCATGTCAAGCCCAAAGACTTCCAAGCCAAAACTCCATGGATCCTTGGTTTCTTCTCCTTCTTAGCCTTTGATTTTCATGGGTAAGGACCTCTTGGTTTTTACTGAAATAATAACCTAATTAATATCAATTTTATGTGTTTAAATGAATTATATGATTGTGGTTTTAATTTTGGGCTTTAGAAGATAAAGTTCTTGATGAACACTAATTGAATTTCAGTTTCGCAGCCTCTGTTTGTATTGCATGTCTCATCGGATAATCCCTAAGATAAAATTATGAAATTTCATAGTAGACTAGATCTTTCGGTTAGCTTCATGTTGATATAAATTATGCATAAATCGGACTTATATTGAGTAAGTTATGACCATTTTTCTAAAACTGCACATTTTCTGAGTCATTTATGAACTATGTGTTTAATACGACTTTATACTAATTTTATTTATGTGATTTACTTGGATATGATTAAAGACTTATTAAAATTCTTCTTTGCAAAATTTCACAGTGTTTGGGTTAAGGTATGAATTATTTGGTAATTTTAAAGTTGATTGCTCTGTTCTGGAAATTTGACTGTGTCACTGCACTAAATTAATTATTTCTCTTAAACGGTTAAGTCTCTTGCTAAATTGTTTTAACAAGGTAGAATATACTTATAGGTGAACATTGTGTGAAATTTTCAGGGGTTTTGGATATATTTTCTAAGAGATATGAATTTTCAAAGTTGAAATACCGAAACTGTCCGATTTTCTAAAATAAACTATTTTGAACTAGAAAGTTTGTTTAGAAGTATGGTTTTCAATTCTTGATCCTTAGTTAATAGAAGAATTAAAATTATATTAAGATAATAAAATATAAAAAGTTGAATTTAATTATAGTTATAGTCATGAATTATTCATTTAAGTCATTATGTGTGTTTCGATTGATTTGGTATGATGGTTTGAAATTCATTATGTGTGTGCCGCATTGTGTGTAAGTATTGAAGATTGTTGAGATTACTTGTGGGATTATTGGTCAATTAAACTCGTTAATGCTATATAGTATATCCTATATTTCATACTTTATATATATGTTAAATCAACGACTATATATTTATATATCCTAGCCTGCGTGGTCGTAGGAATAATTCCCGATCCATGGCTTATATATGTATACTATAGTATATTATATCTCTATAGCAACCTACGTGGTCGTCGAGTGAAAACTCCGATCCATGGTTTATGTAAATATAAAATATACTATTATAAATATATGTGTGGGTGTGTACAGCTATATGTGTGTGTGTAGATGAACAATAATATTTACGTGATTTGTGTTTATTGTGCTATACTTGTTTGGATATCATTGCCGTGTGTGTGTACAGCCGTGTATGTATTTGTGTCATATGTGTGATTTAATTAGTCTATGTGATGATATGTGGTTAATAATCCTTGTGTTATTTTATTGTGACATATTTGTGTGTTATTTGTGGTGTTTAAAAGGTAATAGAATTATGGTCTAAGTGTTCATGTCCATGCATAACACGTGTTTTGAAAATTGAAAGATTAATGGAATGTTTGGGTAATAAACGAATCGGATACGGTGGGCCGGTATCCAACTAGGGTTGAGAGGAGTGATACGAGTGATATGAGTGATATTGGATCCATAGACGGGCTCGAAACGGTTTATTATCCAAATATAGAAATTAATCTTTCACGGATCCGATAAAGTAAAAATATTTTTCCATGCATTGCATTCACATGCATTTTGGTTATTTTGCATAATAAAGTGAATTATGTGGGTATAGTGTGCTTTTATGACTTATGTGTAATAATGTGCTTTTGTGACCCGTGTGTTGTCGTATATTACCTGATGTTTAGATTGTCACGTTGGGATTCTGATAAGGATCCTGTTGCATTGCATTTATATGCGTAAAGTGTTAAATTTATACTAAAGGGACTTTATGTCCGCGAGTAATATGAGGATTTTATATCCGTATAATATGAAAGGGGACTGTGTGTGCAATATACCAAGATTGAGGTAAACAATATTATATGTTTATATGTAGAGCTATATGTTCGACTATGTTTTATGATAATATTCATGCTCCGTGGATCTTAATTTTGAAGAATAGAAGTACTGTATTCGTATGTGATGTTATGTGCTTTCACTTATGTGATCGAATGTCTTGGTCTAAACGAATAAATTGAATATAGAGGACATAGTAGAAGCTTTAGAAGTATCCCTACACAAAAGAACATAGAGACGAGGACTTTAGGGCTCTTATAGGACGTGAGTGACACGTTGAGAGAGGCGTGAGTATCGTCAGGCCAATGTTCTTACTGAGCCAGTGGTTGGGCTCACGCTTTATGCGAATTTCCCCTTTTCAGGTTCTCGAAGTAATCAGAGTGCGCAGCGGAGCGGAGTTCGAGGAATCACGAACCTTGATGCCTTGCACGTCTTACCCGGATTTCGTAAAAAGGATCCATGGTTTCACTTTCGTCTATAAAAAGGGTCTTATGTAAAAATGGAGATTTTTATTTTACTCTGATTTAGGAATCCAGTCTATTAAACGGGGGTATTTTAAATCAAGTTTATTTTCCTTCCGCTGTCTTACAAGTTTTCTTTTCAAGCCCCGATGATGTTTAGGTAGCACTCTTTATGAAAATCGTAACTTTGATTTGTGGGTTATATTTTAAGCAAAGAGAAATACTTTTAAAGTTCGAAATTTGGGTTTCTCAAGGTTCAAATCGATTCGAAATTTTTAAAGTCCACTAAAATATTTCTTCTTTAACTAATATTCATAGAGGGTGTTACACATTTGATAATTAAGATTATATTTTAATATCCATCAATATATTATCTATTTTAACCATAGTTATCAAAATTAATAATCAATTGGAAGTTTTTTTAGTGGTTTTATTTGTAATTGTCACGTGTCATTTTGTGATTTGATGTTTAGGTAGTTATTTTTTTGATAACTCAATTTTCAGGATGTATTTTTACATGCAAAGAGATAAAATATCAAAATACTTACCCATTTTATTACCCCTATTGGAGTAGAAATTTTTAATTTTAGAATATCAAAAAGGTGATTTATGTGTTTGATAATCCATTTGATACTCCCATCTAAATTATGGGGTGTGTCGCATACACACCCCTAAGTTATAAAACGTACTAAAGACTTCCTACATTTTTTTATCAAACTTACAAAAATATTAGTTTTGTAATTTTTTTGTGCAATTACAATCTTACTCCCACTCGTAGTCTATGAAAAATATATGACAAAATAAGAAATATAAAAGCACCATTTCCTTTATTTTTTCCAACATAACTTATTTTGCAAACAATAATTGGAGGATGATTTAAGGAATTGTTTAGCTTATTTTAATATTTTATTAACTGGAGCATATTTTTTCCTAGGTTATAATGACAGATCATATTTTAGTCTGAATATGCTGGGGGTTAGGCTTTCAATTTGCATACTTTAATTTGATGTCCTATTTTGAGGTACATGATTTAATTAAAGAAATTTAGTATTCACTTACTAATTTGATTTGGTTTGGTTTGATATATTTTTATGGAAAAATTCAAATTTTTTTCTGGTATTTAAAAATTCAAATCATTTAAAATTAATATTTGTGTGAGTTTTGTATATAATTTCAAATTCTAACAAAAACATCATATTGAAATTAGGAAATATGCTCAATCTTCATTCTCAACTCTTTTGTTTTCCATTTTTTAATTTAGGGTAAATTACAAACACTCCCCTGAGGTATGGTTAAATTACAAAAACACCCCTCTTGTTTGGATAATTACAACCACCCCCTCAACTTATCAAATTTAGTGGAATCTTCGAGATTATATGGAATATTATCACTTTTGTACCCGTTTTATCCTATTCGAACTCTACATTATGAAGCAAGATGATCATAATATGTGATTTTTAGCTTGTATATATCTGTTTGTGGTGCATCGGAAACTGTATTTTTTACAAAAAAAGAGTACGAACTAGAGCACATTTCACGGAATCTAGATGACTATGTTGAATTTGGCACCATAAAGGTGGAGGTCTAAGAAAAAATCATAGTTGAGGGGGGTAGATGTAATTATCCAAACAAGAGGGGTGTTTTTGTAATTTGACCATACCTCAGGGGGTGTTTGTAATTTACCCTTTAATTTATTTATATTATTGACAAGATACCTGATATGGGCCACCTCGCCTTAGGGATCTTTTTATAAATAAATATAATTTATAAAGAGTTCAAGGTCCAATAAACTACATAACTAGCCCAATAAACAGTATAAAAGCTATAATAAAGGCTTACACAAATATCCCAGCTCGGGCAATGAGAAGCCTGATGGGTTGCACGAGGTTAGAGGGACAAAACCTTATCTCGAGTCACAAAGAGCCTACCTAATAAACCGCACTAGGTGAGGTGAGCAAAGATCTCACTTTGGACCTCCAAAAGGACTAGAAGGTTGTAGAAGATTCAGAAAGGCCAAATACTAGGCGGCAGACCCAAGAAGCTGGGGAAAAACCCTAAAAGGAAAGCATGGACCTTCAAGGCAAGGAACCTCTATAAAATGAAGTCTCCCTAAAATCTCTCACACGCAGCTATACACACGTACACCCTAATACACTTAGAGAAAAATATCTGAAAGGTTGCTTCTGACTTGATCGCTAGAGTCTCAACGTCGGGAAAACCCCTTCCGGAGTTTCAGGTACCCCCTCCGGCTAAGCTCCCGGCAAGATCCAACCTAATCAACCATCAAGAAGCTGACGTCATCACCTCACGAGAAGCAGACTTGTTCATTAGCGCCGTCTGTGGGAAAAAGAAAGGAGTAAAACAAATAACCCCTGGTGCAGAAACGCATATTGGAGTCTTTACCAACCTTGAGGTGATAGATCTTAGTTAAAGTGTGGAGATAAAGAATGGAAGGTGAAGATATGATTGTAAGAAAACTACAGAAGGAGATGGACGCTGCAGCAACATGAAAAGGACCACCCCCTCCAGAAACACCGCAGATCTCATCTGGGCAACCTGCAGAATGGTAGATCCACTCTTGGAGAGGAGATGCCTCCGCCTCGACACCCTGGGACCAACCCATTTGAGTTTCCCTGAACTCACACATTTGAGTATGCTTTCGGAGGAGCCTCCCATTCCCCGCCTGCTACACCCCAGTGTGGTACCACCCCTCCCCTGAGCAAATGTACACTGGCGAAAAGGTGCATGCCATGATTGCCGCTGCCATCAAGAATTATTGCTCACCACTAGCTCCCCAGGAAAACAGGCCGAGGCGAGAAGCAAGAAGAAGCATGCCTGGCCAAAGAGTGGAGGAAGAATGTGATAGCTATTCAGCGAATTGGGTGGAGAAAGCCAAGACGTGGGAACTGAGGTAGATAGCTTATGAAGGCACATAAATGAGTTCAAAGCCTTACAGCGTGGAGCTAGGCAAGGACTTGGGGTGGCGAATCCATTCTCTAAGGAAATCGACAGCGATCCTATTCCAGCTAACTATAGATCCATCTCTTTCGAGTACAATGGCTCCACCGGCCCAGCGGAGCACATTGAGTAGATTTACCAACATTGCCTTCCTCCACTAGCTAGCGAAAGGGGGGAAGTGTAGAGCTTTCTTTACTACCCTAAGAATGTTCATACTGCTACTTCCCTAAGAATGTTCATATTGCTGTAAAATTGTACCTCAATCTCTTACTCCATCAACTACCTTATAGGATTTGTATTTTGTTTCCATTAAATAATAAAGTAATATTTTTTTTTCATTAATTATATTTGCTAAAGATTAGGGGTAGAAAATGTAATGCCTTAGCAGGTGAGACGATTTCTACATGCTTTGCTCTCACATAAGAGAGCGGTTTGGAGTTCTATATAACCAAAATACCAATTTCAGTAAAAAAAAATCCAAAAATTCCCATATCTTTCCGGACCAACCCAACCACCGGAAAGTCGTCTGCCGTTCACACTTGGGCAAAAGCCTAACATGGCTAATTATTCTGCAAATCCGGGAAGTAAGGCCGGGAAGTAAGGCTAGAGGCAACATGGACCAAGTTAGAAATCTTCTCACTACAACTAAAACCTCATAAAAAGTTATCTAGTTACACATTCTCGATAAAGATGACTAAGACAATCTAGAAATTAGTGCCGACTATCTAGCTCCAACATTATCCCTTTTGCTTCAAATAGAACTTTACCGACTCTTCTCGCCCATGTCGCTTTATACCAAGAAGGAAACTATTCACCACTCAAGTGTGTGTTTCTATGTCTGCGCATAGTTTTATTATTTGTTTGTGTATTTGTTCGAGTGTTTCAATGCGCGTGTCCATATCTTTGTTATTATTCATTTTTTTTTTGTTAAGGATGATAAAAAGATTTGTAGCAAATACTATTTTCTTTATTTTTTTATTTGTAATGAAAGAATCTGAAACCAACCATATAGGTGCACTCGATAAAAGAAATGTAGTTAGTTTTGTTCTTAAAGTAGTAAAATCTTATTGCTTGGATCTTTACACCAAATACCCCTTAAATTGCCCTCGGACTCATCTTATTGCTCGGATCTTTATACCAAATACCCCTTAAATTGCCCTCCCTAGTCCGCACAACACAAACGATCGTTACTCGATTCATCCATCACATTCTCCAAACAATAATGAAACGAAAAATTCAAAAACTAACCAAATAAGTCAGAGTAAATATGGTGCTCGAAAGATGTATATATATATATATATATATATATATATATATATATATATATATCTACGATAACCTGAAAGAAAAGAAAATTGACATATTACATAGAAAATCAAGATTAACAAGTTGGTATTTTGATGGTATAAAAAATATCATACATAAAAAAGAATAATACAATAAAATGGAAGTTAACTATGAGTCAGGCACGCAATTGAGGTGGTGAGGAATTATGCGTATCTTCAACAGATATGTCGGTGACATCATCGACGGAGATGAGTGTGATGGGGGGTGGACTTTGGTTTTCGAGGTGTTGACAATAGCTTTCGAAAACTCGAGAGCTAACACATACTCCAAAATCTAACAAAAAAAGCAGTTCAATTTCGAGCCGGTTCAACTCTGCATTGCTCACTCCTCCAACTCGGGCATAAAATGCATTATTATAGTGCCTGATTAATAAAAATGTTAGGGGATGACAATAGAGTCAGATACAAGCCAATAATATACATTACCCAATTTATTTAATAGAAAATAAGTTTAATTGGGTTCCAGTTCAACTCGATATTTAATTTGTTCAGTTGGTTGTTCGAATCCCGACTTTAGTTCACAACTTATCATCGGAAAAAAAAAAAAAAAAAAATTAGGCATCTGCACCCACTACATATAAATTTGCTAGCAACAATTCTAATTTCTATAACGATTTAATCTTGTGCTCACTAGGTGAAGTTTACCGAGTAATATATATCTACCAACATTACATATATTCGCTAAATTGTTAAATACATCGAAATATATGTATGTGAAGATACGTAAATTAATGGTGAAACATCGTCTAATCTAATATATTTTGTTCGATGCAACATCTCTGAAACATTTTAATAACATCACCAATTGTTCTCCAATCACTCGTCAATGATATCGGGGCAATTTCGACATTGGATAGATCACATTTTTTAATCGTAATACACTAAGGTCTCGTTTGGTTGCCAAAATAAGATTAAATAATCTAAGGAAAACTTAATTATTTTATTGGTCACCGGGACAACCAATAAAAAGACTACCTACAAGGCAAATAATATTTGCGGATCGACCCAGCAAATTACTAGAATACCAAATATCAAACAGAATCCAATTATTTGGTTAATAACGATTAATATCCCAACCTTATACTATAAATATATATTTTCTTTTATATCCTATTTATTACTAAAAATTGGGAAATAAGAACTACTATTGAAACAAGATTCAACAGTAAAGAATAGGAAACAATAACTTCACGAATTGCAAAATTTGTAACCATCCGAATCAAACAAAATACCAATGAAAACAATTTTCACATTCAAAAGTTAAAAATCCTAAAAGTATAAGGAAAAATACAGTTTTGGTCCCTCAAATTTGCACCGATTTCCCATTTGGTCACCAGGTTAAAAAAACGACATTTGGTCCCTTATATTTTTAAAATTCAACATTTTCGTTAATTTTCCATTAATACTAACGGACAGTAAATTAACGAAAATGATCAAAAATGTTAAATTATTAGAACATAATGGACCAAATGTGTTTTTTATGAACATGAAAAACCAAATATGAAATCAGTACAAACTTGAGCGATGAAAACTGTAATTTCCCTACTAAATATACATAGGTATAAGAAAATTTAAATTAAAACAAATAACCAAAAAAAGAAAAAAACAAAAAAAAAGAAAAGAAAAGAAAAGAAAACATACACATCATCAAGAATCTTGGAAGCAACCATAACACTGGTGACGACCAAGCGATGAACATTGAGTGAAACCACAAGTGAGTCCGGATACTTATGAACCAGCCGATCTATGTACACGAACCCCACCACGAAGCACGCCGGGCTACAGTTTGTGTACTTATATATTCTCTCCAAATACTTCTCCAGGCTTATCGCCGGCGACCGTACCCCGTGGAATGCGGTCAATATATTTCCGGCGGAGCCACCGCCATCGCTTAACCGGTCATTCCGGGAGACCAGCTTTTCGAGCACGTAGGAGAGGATAGTTAGGACTCTCGGCGTTGCTGTGGCGTCTAAGATGATCGGCTCCGTCAGCCGGGGCTGGCGGTGCTGCGCTTCGCCGCCGGTTAACATCTACAGTGTTGGCATTGGGTGGTGGTGGAGGCATTTTTTTCAGTTTTTATCGGACCACGCTTTTAGGCGAGTTTGAAAGGCGTGTGGGTCTTATCTACTATGGGGTGATGACTGACTGACACGTGGCACTTGCATCTGCCTTTCAAGAATATTCCCTGATAAGCATTACAATTAAATTGCGAATAGGCCAAATTACGGCCAACCCTGATTTTTTGTCAAATTACGAAAATCCCTGTTGTTTGGATAATTACAATCATTTCTTAATTGTGTATTATCTTACGAAAATACCCCTTCACATTCACAGGTAAATTTAGGGATGTTAACCGATAAAGCGAACCGAAATTACGGTACGTCAACATTTCATATCGTTTACCGAATTAAATATACGGTTTGGTTCGGTAAATAACCGAATTACTTACATTTTATGTAAACATATTTAGAAAGAGGTGGTGGGTCTAATAACCCAAACAACACGGTTTTTTTTTCGTAATTTTGGCAATACCTTAGGGGGTGGCCGTAATCTTCCCATAATTAAATAGTTGAGAAATTTTATAGGGCCATTTGATATATATACACATCTAGTATGAAAAATAGATAGGGCTAGGGCCACCCCTAAAATTCTTTCTTCGAAATATTCCTCGAGAGGCAAAAATACTATTGTGCCTTTATGTGCTATTTTCGCTCAACTACATTTAATATTTTCGCCAACTGCATTTAACATTATAGCGACGTGCATTTATCATATTTACAATTTTTTGAATAAAAAAATATAAATGTTTAAATACACCATCAATTTTTAATTTTTAATTTTTTATATTATTTTTTAATTTAAAAAAAATAAATTTTCAATAAGTTTCATGTACAATAATTGACTACAAATGACCATATACTAACATGTTCTATAGTCACATATAGTTATATCTAGTCATGTACCTTCTTTTTACTCCAAAGTTATATATGGTCATATATCTTCTTTTCACCCCAAACTTATATATAGTTGTTGAGTGTAGATTTTACGCTCAATATGTTTACCATACGTGGATCTTTTGTTTAGATTTAATTATATTTGTGCTTTAATTGATTGATTTTGTGTTTTATAGGTGAAAAACAAGAATTAGGTATCCATGAAGGAAAAAAAGATCAAAAAGAAAGGAAAAAGTTGCAAATAAGGAAATAAATCAAATTAAAAGAAGGAATCTCGCCACAGCTTTGGCAGTGTCCACCATTTCGAGCATATCTCTCTCATACGAACTCCGAATTAGGTGATTTTTGCGGCATTGGAAAGCTAATTTCAAGGGCTACAATTCTTATGTACACAAAATTCTAAAATTCGGACTCCGACATGGCACAAATAGACGAACAAATCCTGATGGGGAAAGTGGCGGAAATTCATTCCTATTCGATTTCCACTACTTCCTTATCAAGAAAATCAAGCAACAATTCTCTACACCATAAGGACGAAATTTTACACCCCAAAGCGCGAAGAACGAAGACTCAAGCATAGTTTTTCTTATTTATTTTATTTATTCTATTTTGTTTGTCATAAGAATTACGAGTAGCTAAGCTTTTAATCTAGGATTTTGCTGGAACCCTATGTGGGGATGGTGAACCCGTTTTCTTGAGATTATGCAATTATGATTTTACGATTATTTCTTATACTTGTTATGATTGTTAGTGCATGAACTTGATCAATTTATGTGCTTTATCTGTGATTATTGGGATTGACTCGACAGAGCTATTTTGATAACTAGACGGTAAGTATAAGAACATTCAAGTAGTTTTCACCGGATGAGTGTGTCAATTGCATGTGGTGTCGTTAGACATACAGATATCACCTTAGGTAGCCATTTACGAGACTTGTTAGTTAATGCTTTATTCATAATTTGTTTGCATAGACATATAGTGAACCGTTTATGAATAATAGACTCATAATACACGCGACAGCGGATTATGAGTAAATTAGTGTCTCGGGTTAATAATCATGAATCATATATTTCATAATTGAGGGGTTTTGGGTGAGCAATTCTTGCACAGGGGGAAGATAAAATTCTAGGTCCGTTTTTATTGATATTTTCTCGTGTTTATTTGCATTCATAATTAGTTTAATTATTTAGTTGATTAAATTTGACAACTTTGCGTAGGCTGGATAAAAATCATAATTGTTAGAATTTGGTACTTGGGATTAGATAATTTGAGTATTCCATGTGGGATCGACATCCGACTCTCACGAGTCCACTTTTACTACTTGTTTGCGATACGTGCACTTGCGTGTTAGGTATTTAGCTCCAACAAGTTTTTGGCGCCGTTGCCGGGGAATACGGCTTAATTATTTATTTATTCTAATATCAAATTTGAGCAATTTTTCTTACTTCAGCCATTTAATTTTAATTTTAATTTTTATTTATAATTTTGATTTTTCGTTTTTTTTGTTACATGTCTGGTTCCAATGTTGGGGCACCTCAAACGGGATATAAATGGCTTCCATCTGACGAATACCTCCAAAACACCTATGATATGCCTCCGCTTTGTTCCGCATGTGGTGGAAATCATTATTCTGATCAATGTTGGAGAGCGACAAATTTCGTCGAAATTACCAACGGAGGTTATTGGAACACTTACACCAACACATACGAGCAAAGCTTTCAAGACCAAGATTTGAACGAGTTTCAACATAGAGAGCCACAATTTGATGATTTTCAAAATTATCATCCAATGCAGCAGCAGACCACTGATGAACAACTTGATTTGGTATCCCTTATTGTCGAATTCATGAAGTCCACTCAATCATCATTTCGAAACATGGAGATACAACTGGAAGAGATGACGCTCAAATTAAAATCTGAGTCTCTTGAAAATATTCCAGACGAAATCGACAATGGTTACATCAAAGAAAATTCGGGTGAAGCCTGCGGTGAGAAAAATCTTCCATGTCCAGAAAATAGTGTCGATATAATTAAGAGAAATAGAAATTACGAAGACACTTGAGCATGATGAATCTGAGAAGGCAATCGAGCTAAACCACGAAGATGCCTCAAAACAAGAGAAGAAGGAGATGGATGTAATGATTGAAGATATTCTAGTTGTGGACCATGTCGTTGATCTAAATGTATATTTGAAGGCATCAATAGAGGTTGATGAGAAGACGAATGTGTTTGAAGTGGAGGTTATACACGGACGTGAGGTTTTTGTGTACCGATTTGAGGGAGCGGGTGATGAAGATCCCATCTTAGCTTCGTACCGATTGATTACAACCAAGAAAGACTACAAGCTAAGGTGGACCCTGATATATTGCAATGCTATCCATGCCTTGGTTGCAATTGAAGTGATAGAGCTCATGGATGGATGCGCAATCTACAAGGCTTTGGATCGGACATAACAGTTTTAAGAAGCAAAGTCTGGCTGAAGACTTAAAACTTAGCGCTTCTCGGGAGGCAACCCAAGCATTTATCGATTTTCGTATTTTTATTTATTTTTATTTTTCTTAGAATTTTAGCATGCGCAAACTAATAATTTAATCTTGTTTTAATTTTTACGTCGAAAATCAAACACTAAGGGATCGGACGTTAAATGTGGATTTAACGAACATCAAAGAGTGCATCCCGGAGAAGGACCTTCCGACTAATCAGGTGTATTCTATCATTTAACTTTGTTCTAATTGCATTGAGGACAATGTAAATTTTAAGTTTGGGGGTGGAAAATTACTTGTTTTTATGTGTTTAATTTTTTAGTTTGCATGCCTTAGGAATTTTTTTTTTCGTTTATTTACTGTTTTCTTAAAAAAAAAAGAAAAAAAATTGCTTGAGTCGTATGCATCAATGAGTTATAATTATGAGAGATGATCAATGTTTGATGATGAGATTGCTTGTTTTGTGTGATAATGATTAGATATTTGTTTAGCTTTCGATTCAACGGAACTTAGAAACGAATTATTGCTAGGAATCAGACTTTGTGCATTGTTTTGGTTGAATGTTTTGTACTTTAAATTTGGAGTTAATTTGTGTTAGATCATGCTATGTTCGGTTTTAGACCTCACCTTAGGAAATTTATGATATGAAGTATTGAGTAGTGAGTGATTTGGGATATGATTTGGGCCTTCTTTGATCCGTTTGAGCCTTTCAAGCCGACCTTTTTATCGAAATTTTCCTTAAAACCTTGATTTGAGCCTCGGAGAAAAGGTGTTCTTTCTTTTGGCCAATGTGTATAATAAGGTAGAATAGATGGAGATTCTTGAAAAATTACCCCTTGGAGTTCGGTTGAAATTTTTTATAAGGTCCTTCTTTTTCCCCGAAAAAAAAAGCACAAAAAAAAGAGAGAGAGAGAGAGAAAAAATAGAAAAAAGAAAAAAGAAAAATATATATATATATATATATGTGTCTATTTTTCTAAAAAAAAAAATGAAAAAAAAAAGAGAAGAAGAAGAGACTAGAAGGGAGAAGTAAGGACTAGTTGTTGAATTGTTTTGAAAGCTCGATCCATTGCCTTAAGAACAAAAGTGGAGACTTTTGAACTCTTAAGAATCGAGTTTATTAAAGTCCTTAGAGGTGACTTCATTGTTTCAAACGCTTATATTTCAAATTTCGGCGTAATCACCTCAATTCAAGAAGAATAGCCACATATACCCATATTTCCTACCTCGAACCAAATAGCCTAACAATTGAAAGCCATAAAGCCCCAATGATCCCAATAGCTTAATGTTCGATATTAGTAGAGTAGAATAATTTGGTGAGTATTTGGAGTCAAACATATGCATGTAAGCATAAATTTTTTCTATCTTTAATTTACAAATATTGGATGCTTGAAGCAATTGCATGATTTGTGGTTTTTGACTATGTAAGTGACTAAGTGCTTTTGAATTTTGAGCTTGCGAATGCCTACGAATTTTCATCTGAAAACATGAAGTTGGTCATTAATCTATGTGATGCAATGCGGTAGTTGAGTTATTTGCTTACGATTATATTTTACTTGAGGACAAGCAAAAGTTCAAGTTTGGGGGTGTGTTGAGTGTAGATATTACACTCAATACGTTTACTTTACGTGGATCTTTTGTTTAGATTTAATTATATTTGTGCTTTAATTGATTGATTTTGTGTTTTATAGGTGAAAAAGGAGAATTAGGTGTCCATGAAGGAAAAAAAGATCAAAAAGAAAGGAAAAAATTGCAAATAAGGAAATAAATCAAATTAAAAGAAGGAATCTCGCCACAGCTTTGGCAGTGTCCACCATTTCGAGCATATCTCTCTCATACGAACTCCGAATTAGGTGATTTTTGCGGCATTGGAAATCTAATTGCAAGGGCTACAATTCTTATGTACACAAAATTCTAAAATTCGGACTCCAACATGGCACAAATCGACGAACAAATCCTGATAGGGAAAGTGGCGGAAATTGATTCCTATTCGGTTTCCACTACTTCCTTATCAAGAAAAGCCTATAAAAGCAACAATTCTCTACACCATAAGGACGAAATTTTACACCCCAAAATGCGAAGAACGAAGATCAACGAAGACTCAAGCATAGTTTTTCTTATTTATTTTATTTATTTTAATTTGTTTATCATAAGAATTACGAGTAGCTAAGCTTTTAATCTAGGATTTTGTTGGAACCCTATGTGGGGATGGTGAACCCGTTTTCTTGAGATTATGCAATTATGATTTTATGATTATTTCTTATACTTTTTATGATTGTTAGTGCATGAACTTGATCAATTTATGTGCTTTATCTGTGATTATTGGGATTGACTCGACATAGCTATTTTGATAATTATACGGTAAGTATAAGAACATTCGAGTAGTTTTCACCGGATGAGTGTGTCAATTGCATGTGGTGTCGTAGACATACAGATATCACCTTAGGTAGCCATTTACGAGACTTGTTAGTTAATGCTTTATTCATAATGTGTTTGCATAGACATATAGTAAACCGTTTATGAATAATAGACTCATAATACACGCGACAGCGGGTTATGAGTAAATTAGTGTCTCGGGTTAATAATCATGAATCATATATTTCATAATTGAGGGGTTTTGGGTGAGCAATTCTTGCATAGGGGAGGATAAAATTCTAGGTCCGTTTTTATTGATATTTTCTCGTGTTTATTTGCATTCATAATTAGTTTAATTATTTAGTTGATTAAATTTGATAACTTTGCGTAGGCTGGATAAAAATCATAATTGTTAGAATTTGGTACTTGGGATTCGATAATTTCACTATTCCCTGTGGGATCGACATCCGACTCTCACGAGTCCACTTTTACTACTTGTTTGTGATACGTGCACTTGCGTGTTAGGTATTTAGCCCCAACAATAGTCATGTATAGTACGTAGTTATATACTGTCTTTTTCCCCAAAGTTATGGCCGACCGATTATGTAGACCGATGATTACATAAAAGAAATTTCATCTACATCACCAACAAAATTCAAATTTTGAATCTTGATATCATAAATCAAATCAAACCCACAATAAAATGGAAAATAACAATCATCAACATCACTATTCGTCAGAAAAAACACATAGCTTATATATAATTATATATTACTGCATACACGACTAAAGTAATTTTGACACAAATCTCACTTTTCAACACGAGAATGACTTGCTTTGAACGACAAACACAATGTCCACTCTGCAAAAACTTACTACATAGTACAAACAACAAGACCTGCGAAAAAAACAAACAATAGTTTTGCTTCAAATTTGAATCTCTACACACACACGCACACACTATCACCTACTGAGATATACATACACATCACCAGCATATACTGCCCACATAACTCGTACATGAGTACATGTTACTACATAGCTTATATATAACTATATGTTACTACACGTGAGTATATATGACTACAGAATTATATACATGTATGTGGCTTTGTTTGTCCCTTCCAAGTACCTGACTTTGTCCTTCTGACGTTGTACTTTTGATGATTCTAGACAACCTATATTCTTATGATTGGAGCAGAGGCGGGGCACGGAGGGGCTGTGGATAGAGAGTGATGAAGAGAGAGGGGAGAGATGTAACGGTTAAGACGCGTGAGTGGAAGAGAGAGAAGGCTAGGGGACTAGGGCATGTATTGAATTGAAATTAAAAGGGTAAACTAGCTACTTCAAGTTGCCTAGGAGTCTCACAAATTAAAATCAAAATTTGAGTTTTTGACTAGGGCAGAAAAATTTATTGACCTCCTCATATATATTTTCAAAATTAGTGGGTGTCACTCATTTACCCAATTTTATATATCTTCCAATCTGTTCCATTGCATTTTCATACTCCTAATTTGATCGTTGCATAAAAATAGGTGCAATTCGATATAACCCCCTCGGTGTCTAATAAAATAGGGATAAACCCAAGCCTAAATTATCCTTTGAAATATTCGGAGAAGCGAAAATACTATACTATTCTCACATGGGGAAGGCAACGGGTCGGTTCTGGGGCGGGTTCAGGTAAACCCAAGACCCGAATCGCGAAAAATATATATAACCCTGATTAGCCACAACCCGTTTTAGCTTTGACCCTGACCCGCCCCAACCATGCCCGAATTAGACGGTTCTGAGGGGCCAAACCTGTTAACATAATATTTTTTTTAAATATTTTTTAACTTTCATAATTTTGCTTGTATATTTTAAGAAAACAATCACAAAATTAATATTTTAAAAAACTTGTATAAGTGATATAAAGTGAATAATAAAATTATATTTAACTTCTAGGATAAAACAAGTTCAAAAGGCAAGACGGCGACTAGCACAGGTCGACAAACTTGATAGATATTACTTACGAGAAACAAGATTAAAGAAAATGAAACGGTGAAAAATTGACAAATGAGAATAGACCCGATGAAAGTTGGAGGTTCGATAAATGAAATCCTAAATAAATTTGTATATAGAGATTAACTATTAAATATAATATATTTATACGAGTTCGTTATGGGTTGGTTCCAATAAGATCCGTTACCCGATCCAGAACCTTTTAATTTACCCCCCTTCCCCCCCCCCCCCCCCCCCCCCCCAAACGGGTCCGTTTTGGGTCTAAGACCCGGCAAACCTTACCCATTCTCATCCCTATCCTCACATGCAATTTCGCCCAACTGCATTCAGCATTTTTGCCATCTGCATTTATCATATTTGGACCTGCATTTTTCGTTTTTACTTAATTTTTGATAAAAAATATTTTATTTTTTATATATATCTTTTCTTCAACATTTTTTAATACTTCAATTTTTATTTTTATAAATACTCAAAACATGTATAAAAAGATATTTAAACATAGTTATATCTTCATCATGTATATATCCTAATAACATAATAAAAGTTTAATAATAATAACATCATAATACATAAATATCCTTATAAAATATAAATAAAAAGGCAATTTTTTTGAATTTACATTTATTCTTGAACATTCCTGGCATACATCATTAGTTCTTTAACAGTAACAGTTAACATAAACAAAATAAAGCATAAACTCATTTTTTTTTATTAAAATCCCAACTTTTGTTTTGAAAAAAGAAATTACCGATTTTTGCCACAAAGTTTCACCCGCCTTAAAGGTTTGATCGCCTCAGACCCCCTAAAACCGCCTCACAGGTAGAAAACCGATTTTTCAAAGTTTGACACTAAAATCGTAAAGGTTTGGGATCGCCTCCACCCCGGAGACCGATTAATCGACCACCTCGACCGATTTTTAGAACACTGTTTATTAGTTTTACTTTTATCGACGTTGATGTTCTTATTTTCGGAAAATTATAAAATTTTCAGAAAATTTCCGCTAAGTTTTGAAATTTTAAAACTTATTTGATTTCCGAAATTCCAAAATCTCCCGGCCTTTAGGAATTGAAATGAATTTTCAGATTTCCAAAATTTTGGAATTGAAATTAATTTTTACTTCCAAAATAAAAAAAAAAAATTCTGAAAAGACTAATTACGTTCCGATTCATCCGACTTTCACATCAAACTATGTTGGTTGCGGAATAGGTCAATTAATGAGTATTATCAGTCATCTTAAACTAAAAATAGAAATCAATATTATCAGATAATAATACAAAGCTTTCAATCTGTTTATTTCTTTACGTTTTGCGAATTTATAACATAATAATTGGATTAAAAATAAAAAATATCTATTTATTTGAGTAATTGTTAATGAATACACCTGGAACGTATTTTTAGACCGCCGTTGAATTTATAACCTAAAGGCTAAAATTGTGGTAGGTCCCGTACACTCGAAAGAACGCCCGCCACACGTATGGCGCGTCCAATCTGACGAAACGCTCTCCGCATTTACCGGGTGACGTGGCAGCAAACTTGTGGCTACAATTCACTGTTGCCCGTAATTAGCGTTCCTGTCCATCAAGCCGGCCCAAAGCTAATTGTTATTTTTTGCCCCTTCGTTAAGTTGTTTTCCACGTCAGCACCAAAAAAATCAATTATCCACGTGGCGAAAACCCAGGACCTCGTACTACTGAACGTGAATAAAAAGAAAATGAACCTCACTCACTACACACAGAAAGGAGCAGAGAAACACAGACTCCAAAAACCTCTCTTCTTTTTTTTTTTTCTTTTTTTTTTTTTGGGTTTTCTAGAAATCATCAGTTCTTTGCTAGTGGTTGAGATTCTTTTAATCATTCCTTAGAATATTAATTATAATATTGTTTTTGTTCATTTAAGGAATTCGATTTATTTGTTGGCATTATTAATTCAAGAAAACACAAAAAAAAAAAAAAAAAGAAAAAAAAAAAAATGGGTGAGCTGCCTGTGCCGGCGGCGATGTGTGAATTTTGTAGGGTGATGAGAGCAGTAGTGTACTGCCCTTCAGACAGAGCTCGTCTCTGTTTGCAGTGCGACGGTGTTATCCACTTAGCCAACTCCTTATCCGTCAAACACTTTCGCTCTCCTCTCTCCTCCTGGGACATCTCCCAAACCCTACCCCATAACGATTCTCTCTCTCACGCGCCGCCGCATGACACCGCCGCATGCTCCTGTTGCTTTGACAACCACCGTCTCGACTTGGACTTGGACGGCGGCGGTTGCCCCCCTCTTCCCGATTTCTTCAAATTCCGGCCTTCTTACAATCTTGATTCTCGGGCCGTGGGTTGGCCTTCTTCTTCTTCTTCTTCTTTGTCGGGCGGAATGATGACGAATAACACACTCCACGATATGGCCGCACGTGTGAAAATGATGCCAATGTCTCTCCCACCATCGCCGCCGTCTCTCTGCGGGGATCAGAAATGGACGACGCCGTTTAACGGAGATCACGTGCCGTTCTTGCCTCAAAAGGTGAATTTATTTCAGTCTATTCTCTCTCTAAATTTAATAATTGATATGTATTGATTTATCGTACACGTTCACTGTGTGTATTTTGTCAATCCAGAGTGGTATTATTGATATTGATAGTCATGTGGTGAAGGATATTGGGGTTCAAGAGAATGAGTTTCTATGTGGGAATGTGGATATAGGTGATGACATTAGCCTTACCTTCGACTATGAAATATTCGATAGTTTGCCGAATCAGCCCCGATTTCCGACCAACGACGATGGTGGAGTAATCGACGGACTACTTACCGATAATAACAACAATAATAATAATAATAATAATAATACCTTATCCGTCACGGAATCTAATACACCTCTCATCGACACCGCTGCTTTGGAGGTTCGTTTCTAACCCTTGTAATTAACACCTTCGTAGATTTATCTTCTTTTTCATCTTTCTATTAGAGGATCAACATCATATCACACTGCAATGATGGAGCCAGCATAAGGTCAAGGGGGCCACCACCATCCTAATATTCGTCAAATCCCTAAATTTTATATAAAAATTAAGAAAAACTCATGTTAGTAGCACATTTAATTAATGAATCCGGCCCTGCAGACTTAAAATCCTGGCTTCACTGTGGATATGCATGCATTGTAATGTAGTGATTTATGTTTTTAGTGGAAAATATACTCTACAGGGGTGCGCCTAGTTTGTACTCGTTTTGTGCAACAATACAGTTTCTGATGCACGACAATCTGATATATACAAGTCAAAAAACACATATTATGATCATCTTGCTTCAAAATGTGGAGTTAGAATTGGATAAAACGGGTACAAAAGTGATAATATTCCATATAATCTCGACGATTCCACTAATTTTGAAACCGCAAGGGTGGACGTGTAAGAAGATTTATAGTTGAGAGGGTGGTAGTAATTACCTATACAGGAGGAGGGTTTTCGTAATTTGACCATGCCTCAGGGGTTCGTTGTAATTTACCATTATAAAATGAAGTTGTGTTTATGTGTAGGCATCATCATCCGTACAACAAGAATGCATTGCTTTTCAACCTCAAAATAACTGCATGATTATGAACCCGAACGTTGGGGTTGGATATGCAAATAATGGACAAGTCCCTACAAGCATGCCGTTAGCCCTATCTAACATCACAAGGGAAAGTACTACTAGCACTTCTGAATATCAAGATTGTGGTTTGTCACCTTTATTTCTCACAGGCGATTCTTCGTGGGACTCTAATTTCGAACCTAGTTGCCCACATGCTAGGGATAAAGCCAAGATGCGATACAATGAGAAGAAGAAGACCCGTACGTATGTAATTTACTCACTCTCCCTTTTCTTGTTTTAAAAATCGAATAATTTTCTTATGAAATATCTACTTCAAGGATCGGTATGTTCGAATTTCCTTTTTTTTTTTTTAATGTGTAAAAGTTGTTTGCGTCGGGCTTTATAGTGGTGATTGTTGTGTCGATTCTGTGAATGAATCAGCGCATTTGTAAAAATGTAGGTTTGGTAAGCAAATAAGATACGCTTCGCGTAAAGCAAGAGCCGATATCAGAAAGCGTGTTAAAGGTAGATTTGTGAAGGCCGGTGAAGCATGTGACTTTGAAACCGGCGGTGAAACAAGGCCTTTCTAAGCCAAGTCGATTCATCTTTCTTTCTTTTGTGGATACACAATTTTTTTTAGGCATAAAGGTATGCGTAAATTGTATATTTGAACCCCTTGTCGTTATACGATGATTCCACTAGCCAACATCTAATCTTGATTAATGGCAACCAAACGAGACCTTACTGGATACATTTCATTTTTTTGATAGGGCAATCTATGGTATATATGCCTCGCGGTAGGAGGGACCGCTCGACCAGCTAAAGAAACCACTGTGATTGAGGTTAGTTTGATTCTTTGTATACTCTTCTTGTTTATTAATCTACGGTGGTGGTTTAATGCATATTTTGATCTGTATTTTTTGAAGGGCCGGAAGTCAAAGACAATCGTCCCAAGAGATCGTTCTAGTTTAGTTTTCGTGGTTTTATGAGATTGAAAACGATAAATAGAACACGCAATTCCTTAATAATACTGGGAATTGCTGTTTCTGGTTTTTTTTTTTAATTAATTAATTTATTTAATTTATTCTTTAAATCTTGTTTTTGACGTTAGACAATGATACCTCGACTTAAAAGGGGTTATTTGTCTGAGGTTAAAGGCAAATAAAATAGTTAGTTCACGCTAGTGTTGTCATCGCCGCTGTCGGAGAATCAAATTGCAACGCAGACTACGGCACGATTGTTAGTGATATTATTCGAATAGGTTCCACGCTAATGGTGTTCAGAGCCCAGCATATTGCTCGGGAAGGCAATAAGGCGGCGCACGAGATAGCAAGATTATCGAAAAAAGAAACTTATGACATATTAATATTATCAGATAGTATCCGTTCTATTATTTCTGCCGAATTGGCTTTATAAATGAAGTTTTTTTGACTCTAAAAAAAAAATTATATAGAAGCACGAATGCTTAAAGATTATGTTATAGTTTCAATTATTCGGTCTTTCTCTATTAGTATTACCGAAACAAATCAATCAAAATCGGCTTCAATCGAGCAGTATACCATTAGGATTACCCTAGCGTTAACTCCTTTTGTATACTCCTTTCGTATATAAGATACTGTAAAATTTGTTTGACTCCTTTTATTTTTGTTATGTTGATGATTAAAGATATTAATTAGAGGGTCTAAATTAAACTGATGTTTAACCTTTAATATATTTATTAAATGTATTTTTACAAGAAAATCACTTTAAATTTACTTAGAATTAATAAGAAGAAGAAAAAACCTAGCTGAACTCGGTTGAACCGGTTTAACCGTAAATCAGTTAGCTAGTTGCCTAATCCAATGTCTAGTTCGATTTTAAAAACATTATTTTATGAGAGTCGAAACATTAGAATTTCTATATGTATTTACAAAATTGTCCTTAGAAATAGTAGTAGGGCCAATGATATCACATTGCACCAAAAGGCGAAATCCCTCGCCCCTAGGGCCCCCATCCCTTGGCCCGATAAGTATTTGATGGAGGAATGTAAATAATGGTAACTCAACGGTCCGTTAAGGTAGCGGATCCGGATCTGGTGCCCACAAGGAACCAACCATCATCGAAGTTGAAATTCCCACACTGCGACTGCCAGGATCCGATCCTAGAACCTTGCACCAACTTACCACCTCCGGAACCAGTTGAGCTACAGCCATGCAGGCCCAATGATATCACATTAGTAATATAGTGAGTGGCCTATGAGCAAATGAGTTTAGAAGTAAAATCTTATGATAAGAACATTCCAAAATAAAAGACAACTTTGGGACAAAAAGAAGAAGTCAAAATCTTGATTTGAATGGTTTGCAACTTCACATGGAAAAAGTCATAAAAGTTCAACTCCCGGTTACATCTTTAATAATGTCATCTAGAAGAAATTAAGTCATAGGTTTTGTTTTGGATATGTAGTTATTTATAGTAGAACTAAAAATTTAAATTAAGATCTTGAATACTTCCAACAACTTAGGTGCAACTGTGCAACATCACATGGAAAAAGTCAACATTTTCAAACGATTTAGCCGTAAATCAGTTGGCTGCCTACTTCCTTGTCCAAATGATTTTAGAATTAATTATTATTTAATGAGGCAACTATTGTCCTTACAAATTATGCCATGTTATAAGTCATTTAGTGACGTATTATTTTTAGAGAAAATTCTTTTAGACCTAGAATCTTGTGATAAGAACATTCCAAAATTAAATAAGAATTTTAAACTTTGGGACAAAAAGTAAAAGGGGTAAAAAAGTAAATATTTGCATTTGAATGGTTTGCAACTTCACATGGAAAAGGTCATAAAAATCTAACACATGATCGCATCTTTAATGTCCTTTAGAAGAAATCAAGTCAAAGGCTTGATCTCAAGTTATATAGAGTAGAATAAGGCCTCGTTTACTTACCTATATTGGATTAGATCGAATTATATTAGATTAGATTGGATTAATTCCCTACTCGTTAATTAATTAATTAGTTAATAATATGTTTGTTTCTTTGGATTACATGTTGTGTTAAATTTATTAAAAATTCTGCTATTATATGTAACTTGTCTATAAAGTCTTTTACATAATAAAATTAAATTATTATTTTGAGGATAAACTAGTAATTTCCCATTCATCCCCTTCAAAATTAATTGGGGGGGGGGGGGGGGTGGTCCGTAGTAGCAGCGGACTTGAGTAATGTCGAATTCTACCAACCAAACATCTTGCTATCTCCTACTGCTTAGTTAATCTAACCTAATAGTAGCAAACAAACGAGCCTAAGGATGGAAATCGGACGAAATGACTCAGAAAAGTTTTTCTCCAGAAAGTAAAAAATGGCTTCCAATTTCTGTTCCAGAAAAATAGGAATGCAAAAACTCATTCCGATTCCAGAACGCCTCATAATCAGCGGAATTTTGAAAATTTCATTAGTTTTTATAATCTCTTGTTCCAAATTCAGATATAATGAAAAAATTCACAATATTTTTCATTCGAAATTTTATAGGAAAATGGAAGAATCAAAAGAGACAAAATAAATACAACCACTACAAACAACAAATTGAAATAGAGATTTTCTAATAAGAAAAAATATAAGAGACTTTCTGATACCAATTAATATTTTCAAAGATTTTAATTTACTTGACCTTTCAGTATTTATATATTTTTCATATATAATATAACATAAGTTATATTATAGAATTATAAAATATATCATAAAATCATATTATATATTTTAAAAAACAATCAAAAATATATAAGCCTAAAATCGGATCGAAAATAAAAAATTCCAGTAATTTAATATACCATTAAGATTATGTTCCAAATGAATTCGGAAAAATTGAAAGTCGGGTCTCCGGAAATCATAATGAAAATAATGTTCCAAGTTCGGATAGTTTTAGATTGGAATATTCCATTCCGATTTCCCTTGAGTAGAACTAAAAATTTAAATCTTGAATACTTCTATATTGTCAACTAATTTAGATGCAAAGTCACATTGAAAAAGTCAGCATTTTCATCTGCAAAAAGACCTTATCAACTTCATATTTAATTATTGCACTATAAATACATATCCACACCAATTGTAAAATCATAAAAAAAAAATCATCAACTCAAACAAACATGGCTTATTCATTCATTCTTCCAATTCTAATAATCTCAATAAATTCTCTTCTCATCCAAACAGCCCTTTCAGCATCCCCACTTTTCAGCATATGTTCCAGCACTCAAAACTTCACCACCAACAGTCTTTATGAGAGAAACCTTAACAAACTCTTAGGTGATCTCTATTTCAAGACCCCTCCAACCGGGTTCGGGTTCGGATCATCGGGTCAGTACAACGACCGGGCTTACGGGCTCTCCCTCTGCCGCGGCGACGTCTCGACCAATGACTGCAAAACATGCGTCGTCGAGGCAAGCAGCCAGGTCACCAAGATTTGCCCCAACCTCAAAGGGGCCGTCATTTGGTACGACAACTGCTACTTGAAATACTCCGACGTCAATTTTCACGGCACGATCGATAATCGGAACAAATTCTACATGTGGAACTTGAACAACGTGAGCACGAACGCCGAGCTGTTTAACCAGAAGACGAGAGAGTTGATCGGAAATCTGTCGACGAATGCTTCTCGAACGAGTAAAATGTATGCGCATGGGGAAACGGATATCGGGATTGAATCGAAAATATACGGAATGGTTCAATGCAGTAGAGATTTGTCGAGAGATGATTGCAAGAAGTGTCTCGACGGCGCAGTGAGTGAGCTACCGAGTTGCTGTGGAGGGAAACAAGGTGGGAGAGTTGTTGGCGGGAGTTGTAATATTAGATATGAGATCTATCCTTTTCTCAATTAGTTTTCATGTTTATATATATTCAATAAATGATTTGTAATTTTGATTGAATTCAGTAATTTCATGTGTTTATTCAATAAATATTATTGTGTAATTTTAATTGATTTCAGTAATTTGTTTGTGGCAATCATATATTCACATTCGTTCGAAAAAATTGTACTCTAGCGAACTTAAAAGTTAATTAAGTATCACAATTATATCCTTACCTTATTATAACGTATCTTAGAATTTAACTTCCTTGAGATCACATTCTCAATCACACCCACAAATTCCGCTCCACAATTTTTTTTTTCTCTCTAAATTTTATTTTCTCCTTTTTTTTCCTATTCATCGTTGCATCTCTCCTTCCGTTCAACCCTTCTTTTCTCCCAATAGCCCCAACCCCAGTTTTAAACTGCGCCAGGCATATTC